GATGAAACATGGCTGGACATTTCAGCAAGACAATGAGCCCAAACACAAAGTCAAGGAAACTCTCAGTCAGGTTCAGTACTTTCCCCCTGTGCCATTCCACATTATTACAAATAACTTCATTTCTGGACATTTCTGGTTTGATTTCTTTGTATGTATGGATCACTTGGGTTGTTACCAACATCTGGTGAGAATTTCATGTCATTAGCACCTCTAGTAATATATTTACTGAGAAAAATGTTGACGTGTTCAATACTTATTTCACCCGCTGTATCTACTTCGACTTGCTTTATAAAAATGATGTCAAAAATCTTTTTACAGATTTGCAACGACACCATTTTGTAGAGTTTGTTTACTTTCTGATTCAACTACTTGACGTTTGAACTTTTAGTGAATGTAAAAATAGTTTCCATGATCTTTTAGCCAAGATTCTTAGGTTTCTTTTGATACCAAACATGTCCAGGTTCTACTAACAGATCTTAAGACAAAAGAAATAAATAAACAGAAAAAGCTGTTTTGCTCAAGAGGTTAAAACAGGACAAACACACCTGAAAGTCAACCATGGACAGGATTTCTTTGCGCCACTCGATGAGGAACGCTGCACACACGTACAGGTGGAAGTGAGAGAAACCGTCAGTTTCAGCCTGAAGAAAACAAGAAAAAAAACAGTTTAATGTCTAAACTTATAAAACAAAGAAAACTGGAGTCACTTAGCAGTAAATGTTAAAACAGAAAGAAGCTAAATGTATCAAACAGGTCAAAATCAGAGCCAGTTTTTCAACAAGATCTGAAATATAAAAAATGAGAAAAACCAAAACCCTGGTCTCCTGAACGAGCTAAACATTTTGACATCCGAAGAGCTAAAACAGCACAGGGTTGGTTAGCTGACAGCTACAGGAAGAGCCCACCTGGTAGGTGTCCCAGAGGCGGATGGTGCATCGAAGAGGCAGCTCCCTCATCAGCAGGTTGTTCATCCACCTGAAGGCGAACTGCAGGTACTCCACCTCGTACTTCTTAAAATGACTGTGAATGTCCACTGAAGACAGGAAACCAAGTTAAATTATGTTTCCTTTTTAATCATTTACTAAGCTTTGGTTAGTTTCAGGCWGGACGGGCTAATAGCGGAACTAGCTTCCCATTTAGCGGATTAGCTTGGCTTTTAGTGAATCGATTAGCTTCTGATAATTTTAATGTGAAGTGTATAAAACTTTCATTTTTATGCCATTTATCCATCCATCCATCCATCCATTTTCTGTACACGCTTATTCCTTTTTAGGGTCGCGTGGGTCACTGGTGCCCATATCCAGCAGTCACAGTGCGAGGGGCGGGGTA